ATTTAGAATACAATGAATATTTTCAATATAAAAATAAAATATTGTGACCCCATCTCATAATAGTAGATGGTCTTTTCATTTTCAATGATTGAGAAGTAAATCCATGATAAATACCTATGTTGAATTTCATAAATTTTAATGGACTTAAAAAGCTTGAAAAAATTAATCCCAGTGCTCTATATATGTGGAAAACAATGGTATACATATATGCAAAACAAGTACTCCTTCACTCTTCAGACATCTTATGTGAATGGATTCCTAGACATCTCGAAATAACTAGGTTCTGCTGACTCTAAGACCTCCTTATTGGAATCAAGCAGAGAATTCTAATTTTTTTAAAAATCAGCAACCACTATCATTTCAGACAATTATTCACTGCTGTTGGAAGAACCTTCTATGAAAGGGATTGCGCCACCACTACCCCTGACCCAATATTTCCTTCCACTTATTTCCTTTAAGCTCATATTTTTGTTTCAGTTTCTGTCTCCTTCTAATGAGGAATTTCATTTTCCCAGTATGCTCTGTAGATCATAGACCAGAAAATTGGGGGTGAAGTTGAATAAAAATATAAATGCATTTTTCTATGGAAGCAAACAAGTGAACAATGTGATCATTTTGGAGCCCAAACACAAAATTTGCAGTTGAAAGAAAAGATTGTTCTTTTAACTCCTAAAGAAGACATAGACTTTTTTTTCTCTATTTCATTTATTTTAACCAAATAAAACAAGTACTATGACATAAATTAGCATGGTGTTTAACGTAAGTATAGATTTTACAAAAAGGAACCTCAGGTTTTCCAACAGGGAAAACCTGTTGGAGTAATAGCATAGTACTATTATATTATAACAACTCCTTATTTGCTCATCATTTTTTAAAAGTGTCCCTTTTAGGCTAAAAATTTCCAGAAGTTAGCCCCAGTCAAGGACAATACAGGGAGGAGGAAGTTAAATTGTGTCCATTTACCCTTCTCTGGGGAAAGTAACAATATAACCACAACCACACCTCCTACCCTCCTTGGCTCATTATAATTTGACCTACAATTAACACATTTTTTATGTGGCTAATCATTAAGAAATTTAATGATTATAGTTTTGTTCAAACTATATGGTGCCCCATAACAAGGAACTGAAAAAAATTTCCAGAAATGATTTTAATTTTTATTTGGAACATTCCATTAGAATAACGTTAAGAAATATAAAATGTGGTGAACAAATTGAACTCTATTCCTTTAGGTTCTTTGTTGAATGAGCTTTCAGCTTCCTTCTGAATGGAGAAGCTGTAGTAGTCAAAGAAACAGGCAAAGCACCCAGATGACGAAGTTAGTTTTCCTCCTGAGGATGGTGGCTTCGGTTAGGAAGAAGAAAAATGTATATAAATTTATAACCACGAGACATAAAGCTAGAAACATGTCTTCCAGCTACCAAAAAACTTGGAAAAGCCCCTTTGTTCTTTATCTATTACAAAATAAACAGATCTCTAGGGACTCTGAAAGACAGCGGGGATTTGGTGGTATTTATAGCTAGAAAAACAGAAAAAGGAGGTAGCAGACAAGCTATTCTAATTATAGTTACACTTGCATTTATGGCTATTCTATTTTTCATTTTCCTCATACAGATCAGAAACCTTAAATAATCCCAAAGAGGTTAAGTAACTAGAGCTTTAGAAAATGACTTCCATAAATTTAGAGACTGTATTAATAGCATTTTCATGCAATCTTAGGGGTCACTAATGGGAATCTATAAATACTCCTTGTTGAATAAATAAAAACTTGCAGATTTCCAGTTTGCAGGCTACAGATGCAGATGTGATATTGTGCTTCCAGAGAGTTTTAGTCTTTTCTTTCTTAAGGTCTCCAAACCCTGAAATCACTGCTTAGATTGTCTCTGTAGTCATGAAGAAGGTCTATCTGCTTCAGGGAAAGCAGCTAGTTAAGTACTGATTTCTTTTTCTGAAGTTGTTCTTAACCTGAGTTGTATCCACAATTACCTGAGGGTGCTTGTTAATATGTTGCTAATATGTAGCTTGGACTGGATCCTAGGGGTCCTTTTCTCTTTTCTTTCTTTCCTTTTTCTTTCTTTCTTTCTTTTTTTTTTTTTTTGGTCTGGAGCAGAGCATAGGAATCTGCACTTTTAATATACATCCCTATGGATCTGACACGGGGGAAATCATACACCAAGAAATGCTGTCCTAACGTTTCAAAGGGATTCAAAGTTATTTTCTAGATACAAATATTATTTTCTCTTTTGAAAGATAATGGGCTTCAAAGAATAGCCAAAGGTTATGAGCTCAAGTCTGTTACAGAACCAGGAAATCTCTCTACAATTCTTTTGGAAATTAGTCTTGAACTTCACCGTGACAGCTTCTGGTGTGTTATTTAAATTAACTCTGGTATTGTTATTAAACTTTCCAGATGGTTTTGTATATCTCCCCAGGTAGAAGGTGTGTTCCTAGGAGGCAAGAACTATGCATACATATATAAATATATATTTTTAACATTATCTAGCACTCTTAATAAATATTTATTAGGCCCTCAATAAAGCATATTTTAATTTTAGTTCAAATGCAACCCAAGTTGCTGTAAAAATCTGCTTTAACTTCTGAGACCTGAAGCCACCTCTCTCGTGGATATTGCTTCAAACCCTGTTGTTCCAATATCCCCTTGCACGGTAGAAAATGGAGGCCACACCCAGTATTCATTAGAAATTGGCAACTGTGCACTTGGGCTCCGTTATGTAGCCACAAGGAAAAGGCAGAGCCACAGTAATAGCTTTGACTGATGACTTGGCAAGGGAAGCCAAGCCCCTTGGGGTGTTCCAGACTCTCTTTGGCCTATAAACCTGTTTAAAAACCTGTTTCTCAGAATTTAAAGCTTAGCTCAATTGGGGTCAGTATTATAGTAATGTCAATAATTCTGCTCTCAGTTTTCAGGCAGACCAGTACAATTCATCATCGACTTCATTTTCATGGAAAGGCAACTTTTGGGAAAATAGCTCTAACTTAAGCTATTTTATTTTGATTTTTCTTTCCCTTAAGAAATAGTTGTGCCAATATTACTTCATTTGGATTTTGTGCTTTCTAAACCTTAGCACCTTCCAGTGCCTGAAATCATTCCCTAAAATCAGAATAGTGCTGAATACACAAGATTTGGGACATCCACCAAGGCAATAACTCAGGGCTTTCAGAAAAAGATCAAATAAGTTATTGGGTCTAAAAGTCATTTTCAATAATTGAGACTTCATGATGTTTCAAAATTACCTCTGCCTTTAGCTGCTTTTAGGGGGTTTGGTACTGGGCTACACTGCCAAGTGGAATACTCTGGCAGGGTCCATTTCTTTCTCTTAGGAATCAAAATCCTTAATGAACAATAAGCCAGTGTTCACCCCCCTGAACAGACAGCTCCATTTTTAGTCAACCGGTAGGAGCACATGCCAAGGTAAATTAACTACATCTGCTCCCGGTAGGGACCTCCATTCCTGGGGTTGTATTTGGAGTGATGGTCAAAGGTGCTAGTTGTGCACTTGCTGTGAGGTTTCTCTCTTTTAGTTCTAGAAATTGAAGAAGGAGAATGACTCAAGATAGACATTTCTTGGATCAGATCTTGCCGCTAGATTAAGGTAGGAAACGTATTCATTCACACCCAGGATAACATCGTTCTTCCTCTATAGGAAAACAAGTATCTGTATATTTAGAAGATGTTGCTCCTAATATAGGAATTTATTAAGGTGGATACAACTTCAAACTTTAAAGTTCCTCTGGATTGATTTCTAACACTGAACTAAACTGCTAATAGTGGAAAAATAATGAACTGGAGCTACTCGTCACATACCATCTTTAAGAGTTACCTGGTCACGTTAAGTTCCTTGTGGGCAGTGTCTAATTCTTAATTTATTTTTGTATTTGCAGCACCCAGAACTATGCTTCGTATAGCATAAGCACTAAATAAATGCTTGTGATTTCATGACTTAAATATCTTTTCCATGATATGAAAAATGGGTAAAGAACTGCAACAACTTAATGACCAATAGAAGGCAATAAAGCTAATTTTTAAAATTTTTTGGACCCTGCTTAAAACCAGTTTCAGTCCCCGTTCTAGTCTGGAAAGACATTTTCCAGAGTCCAGAAGTGCCCCTATCTGTGGGGGTTTTAGTTCCCACAGTCAGCTGTGATCCAGAAGTATATGCTCCTCCTTCTGAACTGTCAGCACATATAGGAAAAAACAGTATATATAGGGTTTGGTACTATCCAAGTTTCAGACATCCACGGCGGGTCTTGGAACGTAGCCCATGTGGTTAAGGTTGGGGGGGCCCACTGTAGTCTCATTTTGTCTCCTGATTTCACTTTAATTCAGCTACCAATCTCTTGTACCACATTAGGACCCCAATTTTTGTCCCCCTACAATAGAGGGGGAGTGTGCTAGATGCTCAGACTGGTTGGTATGCTTTGATTCAGATATCACAGCTCTCTCTGGTTAAATCTTTGACAATGGATAATCCTTAGAAATGAAAGACCATAGTGGAAGCACTAGGTAAGAAGTGGAGTAGGGCAGAAATTTTGGCTTTAAGCTTCATGTGGTAGAACACAATATACACAGGAAGATGCCAATTTCATTTAAAAGAATAAACCCAAACCCATGTCCATATTTATGCCTATAAATAAAGTCAGAAAAAAATGTCAGCTGTGGTTATTAATACATGGTCTAGCCAGGAATTAATACATGGAGTAGCAAGGGTTTTTATCTTATTTGTGTTTCCTTATATTTTTTAGATATTTATAGTGAATCATTTCTTCCAGATTAAAAAAGTATGTCTTCTGTAGCACCAAGACTTAAGGGATGAGAAAAGAAGTCATGACTAATTCTCCTGAAACTAACAGGATCTGACCAGTCCTCATCAGTCTCCCCTCTTTCCCCACAGTGAATCTGGGGGAAGGGGAGAGCCATACAGAGAGTCATGGGACCTTCCCCTAACTTTATTATTCCTCATGCCCCAGTGCTGTCTCATGTGGGGGCAGGCAGGTAACAACAGCTTTAAGAAGAGCCTTTTCTTCCACGTTTCATTTTTTGATACTGCATTTTTCTCTCTCTACAGAGCCCCAAATCATCCCCGATGTTATTTTTAGTCATGCTCACAGGGGGGAGGAAAAAGTCAATCAGGGTTTCTGGCATGTCAGCTTTTCATAAAAGGAACACAAAGTAGAGCTCCCAGCAAGCCTCATCAAATGTAGGATTTATGTGGGAACTTTCATCCACATCCAGTTAAAATGTTCCCTGCTAGGCATGGAAATCATCATTTGAAAAGGCCTTACTTTAAGGACTGGATACAGTGGCTCAAATGTTGCTTCAGCTCTTCTTCCTTTTCATAGGATTCCAGTACGCTGTGTGCCTCATCATGGTGGTAGCAGTAGACTTTATAAATATCTTCCAGTGGTCCTTTAATCTGCAAGAACACTTCTCCTGATAAATGCAAAACAAAGGCAAAATGACATCAAGTCAGACCAAATGGACACTCTACATATTTATTCTTTGACAATGTTGACCAATGTTAACATGTTGAAGAGGTCCCATTTTATCCCCAGGTTACTCAGGAGGGGTGGATGACATCCCTTCCCTTCTCTTCCCTTCCCTCCCCTTCCCTCCCCTCCACTCCCCTCCACTCCCCTCCACTCCCCTCCACTCCCCTCCTCTTCTCTTTCTTTCCTTTTCTTTTCTTTCTTTCTTTCTTTCTTTCTTTCTTTCTTTCTTTCTTTCTTTCTCTTTCTTTCTTTCTTTCTTTCCTCATCCTTCCCTTTCTCCTTTTTTCTTCCCTTCCTTCCTTTCTTTTATAAAAGGAAGGATAAAGAGCTTAATGGAGACAGGCAGCAAAAGAAAGCTGGTTTTCTCAGAGGTGATTTATGCACTTGGCTGGTGTGCAGGACCCTGTTTAAGAGTCTGTATGGGTTTGGATCAGGCTGTGCTACAGACTTGGACAGGATATGACTTGGACAAGTTATGTTTACTTTCTGAATCTCTTTCCTCGCCTATAGAATGGGGACGATAATAGATTCAATTTCAGAGGGTCATTATAAAAATTAAAGGGGTAGTGTGTGTGTGTAGTACATATACAGTAAATGCTCAAAATAGAGCAGTTATTGTGAATTTGTTAGAGGAATGGAAAGTGAAATTTCAGGTTCTAGGTAAATTAATTTTGCTATTTATTCCACTAATGTTTCCCGAGATTCTCTGAAAGGCAAGCAATGGAGTTTAGGGAAATAAAATATTTCCTTATATGTCATAATAGAAAGAATTGGCCATTATTCCTGTTAAAAACTCAATTGGATAGGGGCGCCTAGATGGCGCATGGGGTTAGGCATCCAACTCTTGGTTTCAGTGCAGGTCGCTATCTCAGGGTCGTGGGATTGAGCCCTGTATGGGACTCTGTGCTCGGTGCTTGAGATTCTCTCTCCCTCTCTCTCTGCTCCTCTTCCCCCACTCTCTCTCACTATCTCTCTCTCTCTCTAAAATAAATAAATAAATAAATCTTTAAAAAAAACTCAATTGGATAACACCCAGTGCTCCATGCAGAATGTGCCCTCTTTAATACCCATCACCAGGCTAACCCATCCTCCCACCCCCCTCCCCTCTAGAACCCTCAGTTTGTTTTTCAGAGTCCATCATCTCTCATGGTTCGTCTCCCCCTCCGATTCCCCCCCTTCATTCTTCCCCTCCTGCTATCTTCTTCTTCTTTTTTTTTTCTTAACATATATTGCATTATTTGTTTCAGAGGTACAGATCTGGGATTCAATAGTATGACTATATCTTCTTAAAGCAACTTGTATTAATTGTATCCAGGCATTTAAGGAATCCTTTTTGATATTATAATAAAATTGCATCTGTAACTGATGACTCAAGTAGATATTGAACAATAGTTGGATTTAATCACCCACTCCATCACTTGAAAATGTATATTAAGCATCCACTATACACCCCAGCACTATGTTAAGATGATTTGGGAGACACAGAAAAAATATGTGATGGGGTCTGCTCTCAAAGACACTGCAAATTTGGGATTGACAACGATTTCGGACTGAACTGATTGGGAGTTACGTGGACCTACCAATCTGGACCTATTATAGTAACAAGAGTCTGTCATTCTTCCTACAGAAATAGAATGCCCTTTGTATTTTCAACATGCTTTGCCCACATTAACCACTTAATTCCCTATATGTATGGGGAGATAAGTGGTTATTTATCCCTATTAAATAAGGATGGACAAATCTGAGTTTGAAACAAATAAATGACTTTCCCACAGTCCTGTCCAGTAGAGACTAAGCCGGGATTAGAGGCTTTATTCTCCTCAGTTTTACTTAGGTGTTATTAGCTCTCCACACGTCAGAACTTTGCTGGACGGACACGTACAAAGTGATGCAGTTGGAAAGAACACTGAACTCAGAATCAGAAATCACTGTTGACTAGGGTTTGGGGAGCAACTGAGTTGATTCTCATCACTCCTGAGGATGAATTTGAGAGTTAAATGGAATGTAGACATAAAAAACACCTGGAATGAACTAGCTGCTTAATAAACATCACTCATCTCTTAATGCTACCTTACTCTCTCTAGAATTAAAACACTAGTACTTCTAAAATCACATTCTGTTTTAATTTATATCCAGCTAGTAAGAGACTTTTCTTAGACTACATGTGTGTGTGCATGTGTGTATGTGTCTTATTTTTTTTTTTTAACAGGGCTTTTCTTTGGACTTGCAAGGAAACACTGTCTATGAGCATCCTGGAACTGAAGGGATGAGGGATTTTTGTTTTGTTCCTGGGATTAAATTGAAGAATTGATCCTTCTACCAGTGTAATTCTTGCAGATCTGGTCTTCAAGACAGTTAGCAACACACACAATAAGGAACGAAGTAGTTACAAGAAGAGAAAATAAAATAGGATAGTAACCTAAATTTAGGGTTGGGCAGGAGATGAGGAGAGCCTCCCAGTAATAGAGCCAGATGGCAAATGAGAGCGAGGGCTTTGGCTGGGGGAGGGTATTACCACCCAGAAGTGGGAGCGAGTGAGTGGCAGGCCCAGAGGAAAGATCAGCAGCAAGTCAAGAAGAGAGGATCTGGATACACATAGCCCACCACAAGATGGGATTGTAAATATATGTGTTCACTACAAAGCAGTTTAGAGTAGAGACAAAGAAAGGAAGAGGTAAGGACGACCTCATAAATCTGCAATAGGATCAAGTCAGAAAGTCAAAAAACAAGGGACAAAGACATTTATTTTGCACACAATGAAACCATTAATTGTAAATTCATACATACACATACATATTTTAACAGAAATGGTGTCGTTTGAAAGAATTTATAGCTCTCTCCTTAACTGCAGAGTCAGTTTTTTTTTTACTCTTTTCCAAGTAAAATTCTGTTGGGACTCTAATAACAATTATTGAAGTTAAAAGATACTTAAGCACTCTAATTGAAAGTCATTTATTCACCCAAAGGCCAAGTACAACACTGGTAGGCAGAATATTTGATTCCCCTCCCAGCCCTACCAATGTCTTCTGCTTCATAATAATGCAGATAAAGCCATGTGTCTTGCAGCAAAACGGTGCTTCTGTTTCCACGGTAACATGACTCTGGGCTGCGTTTCCTTAGTGGTGAAGGACAACTGCTCGGTCTAATGGATGTGGGTTTGAATGGATGATTAGGAGTGGAGGAAGGACTGAGCCAAGACTGGTGAAGGTAATTTCACTTCTGGCTGCCTGTCACAAAAGCGCCGTAACAGTATAAAATAAATATAACTACCGTGTGCTTTTTAAAAAAATTCTGCAACCCAAGAATTTCCATACTGGCTTTCCCCTGTTAAGGAACCTGGACTGGATCACCTGATGGAAGAACCAAGTGGCACCCAGAGATCTTGGATAGGAGGTTTATTTAACGCCGGCGGGCTCAGAGGAGAGTGGTCTCCAAAGGTCTGAACCCCGAGCACAAACAAAGGGGGCAATTTATACACTTCTACTTCCGCATACTGGGCACTTCTGGTGCGTGCGAGAAGCTGGGCAGGGAGGAGAACCTGGAAGAGCCCCAGGGCAAGGACTGGGACTCTCTCGCTGGCTAGGTCGGCCATCTTAGGACACAGATTTTCCTTATCATTCTCCCCCTTTGATGCCCCTTTAAACACCTAGTTTAGGTGTTTAACATCTCCATCTTCTAAGGGGCGATAGTGAGTAAGGAGTAACTGGAGCCTAATTTTAGCAATTTGAGTAGTAATAAACCTAGTAAGGGCATTAAGAATACAAGAACCAAATGCCACTATGAGGAGAAGCAATAGGAGGTGGCCGACGAGGGGGCGAACCAAGGGAACCACTGTGAGAGGGTATTCCACCAAGTTGTCTGCTGGAGTATTTCCCACCCGGTGACATACTTCTTCCTGTAACTGGGTCAGAGTTTCTTGGACCCCCCCGACTCATTAACATAGAAACAACATTCCTCCTGTAGGAAGAGGCAGAGCCCCCCTTGCGCGGCCGTGAGAAAGTAGAGCCCGCACCTGTTTTGGAGGACCACTGAGGCCAGTGAATCGAGTTGGCGCTGCAGGGCCAGGGCCGGCTGAGTGAGGGCAGAAAAATCCACCATGAGTTGTTGAGTTAACCCCTGGTACTGAACCTGAGACCTCCCAACGCCAGTGGTGCCGAGGGCAACACCTAATGCGGCCAGCAGGCTCACGACAAGAGGGATGGCTGCGGGGGAGCGTCTAGGGCGGCTAGGAGGTTTCCATATGAGTGGGGCATCGCTCTCGGGGAGGACTGAAAGATCAGGTAAGAGACTAACAAGCGTGCATGATTGATCCTGCGGGGTGATGCAGATGTATACAACTATACAGTGATTGTTAGGGCAAGAGGGTGGGGTGGCCTTGCATGACAAGGAAATCCTGATGTCACTGCGCTGTTTGAGGCACCAGCTGGTGGACCATTGTTCCATTCCCGGCCAAGTTGCCACCCATGACTCATCCCCAGGCTTGCGAGCAGAACTGAGGGCAGGTGTTTGGCTGTTGAGGCGTAGGGCCCCCACAGATGTAGATATCTACCAGCGGGTAACCAGAGTGAGGGCCATGGTAGGAACACCATCTATGAGGTTCCCAGGAGGTATCAAGAAGCTGGCATCCATCAAAATGGATGTTAACCTTCGGTGTGTGTCCCTCCCAGATGGAAGAAGTCAGTGGGGGCATTGGTGCAGGATTGAGGGGGATAAGCTGGAAAGTCCATTTGCCAATAATGGTGATAATGAGAGTTTGCACCCCTTGCCTGGCCGGGCAAGCTAGAGGCAGTGCGGAGGAACAGCACACCAGGTAGCAGAAGACTAGGACTGACTAGGGCTAGGAAAATCATGGTGAAATGCACTCAGGAGTAGAAGCAGAGGGCCAGTAAAAGTGGGATCTATGACCTTAGGTAGAGGGAGCCATCATGGCTAACCCATCAG